ATTCTGTCAGGGCTTTGGCTTTCCTAACCTGATCCCTGGCTGCTCAGACAATGTCTCTGTATTCCTGCCAGGCTACCTGTCCTTGCTTCCACCCTCTGTAGGCTTCCTTTTTGTGTTTGAGTTTGTCCAGGAGCTCCTTGTTCATCCAGGCAGGCCTCCTGGCGTTTTTGCCTGACTTCCTCTTTGTTGGGATGCATCGCTCCTGAGCTTGAAGGAGGTGATCCTTGAATATTACCCAGCTTTCTTGGGCCCCTCTTCTTGTCATTCTGAGTTCAGAACGGTTGGGTTTTGTTGGGGTTTTTTTGTTTGTTTTTTTAATTGAGATGAAGCTATATGAACATGTTACTGCAAAATAAGTAAGTGTGTAGATTTACAGCGTATTGGTTAATCTGCAGTGATTGCTTGTGTTAACCCTTCCAAACTGCAGTAAATCAGAGGTTGGTGCCATCCTCGATTATATGTGGTAGGACTTGGGGAAATACGGGAAGCCCAAGCAGTTACTGGACTTTGACTTTGTACAACTCAGTAGCGCATTAATGATTATTTTCAAATTAATCTTTTTATAGAAAATATCTTCTATTTAACTATTTTCAGGTTTTCTATGTTTAAAACATTTTCTTTTTATTTTAGCTAAGATTTTTCCAGAAGAAATAACCCCACTTTTGCCAGCTGTCTCTGGAGAGAAAATTGCTGAAGACCAAACCTGCTATTTTCTTCAACTACTGTTAAAATATATGGTAATTCAGGTGCGGAGGATATATGTTTTTAACTATTCATATTTGGAGGAATGTACTTGTGGTAGAAAATTAAGTCTACACTGTATCTATACAGAGCTGGTTTTGCCCCTCCCCAGGAAGAAGCTGTCTTCTGCACTTTCTTACTCTTGTTTTTAAAAGGAAAATCATCCCAAAGGTATTTCCTTGTGCCATTTTTGGTGAAAACAAGTTGTTTTTCACACTTGTGATAATAATTAATGAATGTTATCCAAACTTGCAGGATAACTGACTTTTTTATGTGCTTGTGGTCACACTTAGAAAATTGATATGGGGTAAAGATGCAATTTGTTCTCTTTGGACACATACATAGCTGAGAAGACATGTAAAGGAGCACTGGAGAAAGGGGAAAAAAAGGAGAGATGGCTTCTGAGTTTTTTCTGAAAGGATGCAAGTAATGTAAATAAGTTTTAATTAGAAATAGATCAGATTAATCTGTACAGGAAAGAAATTAAGATAGCATATATATTTAAAAAGTACAAGTTAAGCAACTTTTTAAATAAAGGGGAAACTGTATATACAGTGAACATTAAAGAACTCAGTATTAAAAAAAAAGATAAAAGATAATGAAATACATAGAGATACTTTTTTTTTTAATATCAAAAGGCAAGACCAAAATTATATTTGGAAGGGGTTTTGTCATCTTGAATAAATGCTTTATTTTGAAAAGTGGCTGTATGAAATTATCAACTCCTTAAATGGCACTCTTTGTTTTACATATCAGTCTCTCACAACACTTCACTTTAAAAAGAACAGTGAAAATATTTTTTTTACTCTTATTATGTGTTTGGGATCTAAAAAACTGACTACACTATAAATCCAATTGCATTGTGGTTCATCAACATTCATTTATTTGTGTTGCTTGGTAGAGGGGAGCACAGTTGGGCAGTAACCTTCTTGCTACAGACAGCAGATGAGATTAAAATAATCTCATGCAAGTGCAGAATGATCGCTGAGAGCCAGAATGTAGAGTAAATCTGCATCTTCGAGAGAATTTATGTCTGGGACTGGGTAGAATTTAATATGAGTTAGTTTATTTGCACAACAAATAAAATGATACAAAAACTCAGTAGTCTTGTTTCCAAGCTCTACATGTGTATTTTGCAAAAGTAGGACATTGCAAGTTCCACAATTTTTAGAGATTTGGAAAAAGATCTAGTACAGATTAAAGTAAGAAAATGTGTTTAAAAGAAAATAAATAAATAAATCTCACATGACTGATGTAAAGAAGTCAGTTTTTCTTTAACTTAATAAATTATCATCTTGGGTATAGATTCAGTGAACTTGTCATCTGCTATATACAGTTGGACAGGCTTTTCTAGTAGCCTTACTGAGGAAAAAAAAAAAAAATTAAGGATCCTGTAGTTTTTTGATGTTGATTAGAAAAAAAGGAAAAAAAAAAAAGAGGTGGGCCTGAATTTAAATTATATGTCAAAAGAGAAACACTTTTAGTGCTCGCCTGAGTTTCACAAAAAGAGAAGTGATGTAAGAGACTAAAACCCAGGTAGGTTTAAGGCATCAGTGGAAAAAGTGCTTCATTGTAGAGATGTCTACTTTTACCTTTCTTATTTGAAATTGTATTGGATTTTCTTATACAAATATAGAAAACACACCAATATAGGTTATGTGCAACTTATTCCAAATTGAAGGTGTTTTAATATGAAAAGAGCAACTCTCTGTCAAAATTTGACAGTCTTCCAAGGAATTGTAGTTCAAAACTGTCGGTAAAGAGCAACTTCAAAGTACATGTATGACTCCTTGGTGTTGATCTATGCAAGAACGGAAGAGTACCTTTAAAAACAAACTTAATGTCAGCCTCTTCTTGTCAGTGGAAACTACTTGTGCCTTGAGTCAAATTTTGCAAAGAGTATTGCATATGTGTGTGCAACTATTAAACATGGGCATTGAGTATGTTTCTGATGACAAACGTATTTGTGTTAAAAGTGTAGCCCAGAGTAACTTTATCTAAATTTACAGGTAAGAAGCAAATTTGTTTAAAACATTAATATATTTTCTGTGCTTCAGTGCATTAGAACAGCACAAATATGCTGGCTTCTAATGAGCTTGCTTTCTTTGATATGCCAAAGCCCTCATGGTAATATCTTATATTCTTACTGCAGCTTGTAAAGTTTTTTTGGATAGTGCTAATTTTTTATCTCTTGTTAAAGTGTAATTGTTTATCTTTTGTATTCAATGTGAAATGATGGTCAGTATAATACATTAACTTAAAGCTTTTTGTTTGTTTCTCTTTAACTCCATGGCAAAGGCTGCAAGCTTAGAGTGGAAGAATAAGGAGAACCAAGACACTGGTTTTAAGTTTCTCTTCACGTTGTTTAGAAAATACTATCTGCCTCACTTGTTTCCGTCTTTTACAAAGCTAACCAACCTCTACAAACCTGTTCTTGGTAAGTAGTGAATTTTCTCTTTTAAGTAGAAAAAGAAATAACGGTGACTGTTCTCAGTAGCATCTCTGTTACCTGCTGGCATATCGCTAGAGTTCTGTTGAATGAGGATTTTTCCTCCCTTGTTATCTTGATTCGAAGTTTCTCTCGAACTTAAATGGGCATTTAAGAATAAGGAGATTTAATTAAAAGAAAGGGAATTTTATGGGAACCCATGATATAAGCATACCTCTCTAAACTGGCTAGAGTTACAGCTCTGTAAGTGAGTTGTATTAATTTCTGCTAAGAAGAATACTTGAGCTGGGATCTTAAAACTGTTTTTGAATTATCTTACTGTTTAGCCCTCAAATTAGAAAACTTTATGAAGAAGGAAAAAGTTACTTCAACTGCAGAAATCTGAGTCAGAGCACAGCTTTATTATGCAAATCTTAACAGTAAAAATAGCTTTGAATGCAGGGCTTGTTTTCATTAGCAACGGGGTAAAATGGATAGTGGGTGTCTCTAATCAACACGTTTTTAGTGTGGTTTAGAAGGTTAAAGATAAAATATTCATAGCAGAAAATGCCTTTCCCCCTTATATTGAAATACAATTTAAGAGTTTAAGGCAAAAAGGGACCATTTGTTCATATATATATGTGTGTGTGTGCGTGCGTATATAGATACATAAGTGCATATATATGTAATAGGGCCTGTAGCGATAGGACAAGGGGTAATGGTTTTAAACTAAAAGAGGGTAGATTCAGACTAGAGATAAGGAAGACATTTTTTACACTGAGGGTGGTGAAAAACTGGGACAGGTTGCCCAGAGAGGTGGTGGATGCCCCATCCCTGGAAACATTCCAGGTCAGGTTGGACGGGGCTCTGAGCAACCTGACCTAGTTGAAGATGTCCCTGCCCACGGCAGGGGGGTTGGACTAGATGGCCTTTAGAGGTCCCTTCCAACCCAAACCAGTCTATGATTTTATGTTTTGATTTTTTCCTAGCACAACTTTTGATTTTCTGAGATAGTCCAGGAAGCTGCTGCTGCTCATCACTGCATAAGGGCTGGCCTGATTCTCCTTTCCTAAGGACATTTCCACTGGCATAGCATTTATATCAAGTGAGCGAGGACTCTGTAACTGTGATATGTAATGAAGACTGAACATGCTCTCTGACGGGTTTTTTAAAGAATCGGCAAGCTGCCCAAGTGCGAGGGAGTAGCTAACTTAGTTACTCTTATTTTACTTCTTGTTTCCTTGAAGAGAAAATGAGCATGAAGGGCCAAATGAAAGGAAATGGAGATGTACATCTACAGTTGTAGGATTAAAAGCATGTTATTTCAGAAACGCTCACATTTTTCCTAATTTTCTACTGAATTACATATCAGAGTCCATAGGAATGGTGGTGTTAATACTCACCTGATGTACTGCAGCCTCTTCTTCATCATCCTTCCCCTCCCTCCTCTGACTTTTAACTCCTGTCCTTTGCAGTTTAATATTTAGTGTCTAAAATCACCTCAATGCCACTTCAGCTGTGTTGTTCACAGCTAAAGCCCAGGCCTCCCGTGTTTTTCAGCAGTGTACAAGTGATTTTTTCCCTAAATCTAAGCATCTGAAGGAATTGTGATCCAACCTATCTCCCTTCGGCAATCTTCCACTTCTTCCCATGCGTTTTCTTTCTTTTATTTCAGCTTGTGCAATGCTCTTTGCACCTGAGTTAACTTCTCTTTCTGATGTGCTAAGTATCCTTTTTCTTCTTAATCTTTGCACTATTGAGTGTTCCAGAGCCATCTTCTCTTTCTCACTGTACTTTATTAATATAAAACTCTGTGAAACTTATACAATTAACTTACATTGTAGTAGGAGCAGTTCTTTGTTTCAGATTTTGCCCTTCTTTTTGCAGCCCTTCTCTTTTGCTTTCCTTTGTTTTGCGTGATACAAATGATAGCCTTCAGGAAAGTCTGTGCTTTTATGTTCTTGCTTTTCTTTAGGCGTAATAAAATTATGATAGAATATAAGCATTAATATAATAAAAGCAGGCAGTCATTGCATCTGTTATTTCATATGGAGAAAATGTTTTTGATGACGTGTTCAATACATTTAACCAGAGTCTGGAAGCAATTACAGTTTTTTAAGATTAGATTTTCTTTATATCTTCTCTTTTTATCTCACCAGATATTCCTGATATAAGACCAAGACCAGTATACATTACTGCAACACGAAACAATGAAAATGTCTATAGCACAAAAATCCCATATATGGCAGCTCGAGTTGTTTTTATTAAGTGGCTTGTTACCTTCTTTCTTGAAAATAAATATTTAACTGCTGTTCAGAATACAAAAAATGGAGGAGAAATGCTCCCTAAAATTATTCAGGTGTGCCTTAAAGTTTACCTCTCTTTTCTTATGTGTATGCTAACCTTGCAAATGATCGCAATGCACTGACAACTGAAGTAAGAAAGAAATGCTACCCCTAAGTGAATAAATGATGTACGTGATTAGTTGATTTTTTTTTTCTTTGATGAAGGAGGGAATCTCCAAGGGAAACCCTGTAGTAATTTACTAGAAATTCTGTTTTTCTCATAACTGTTTGCCTTATCAGCTTCATCAGTATTATATTTAGACTTTTGGAATTTATTCTGTAAACTGTCAAACTTATTTGTGCCATAGACCATTTCCCAGCAACATCAAAGGCTGCTTTGTTTTCCTCTTGATTATAGCAGCTGTTTACAATGAGATGTTAGAAAAATATTTCACTTTCCAATTGCTTGTTGAGACTTCTCTAGGATTAGGGACTTCACAATGAATTTTATAGAAATAGATGCTTTTTCTTTTAAGAGACTCTCCAGCTTCCTGTTTAAAATTTAGGATCAATGTCAGCTTATATTCCTCTCTTGAATTGTAGGTCAGTGTCAAATCTGGATTCAGTGGAAAAGCATACATTAACTATTATTGTATAACTGTATATTTTCACTTTGTTTTTTGGAGTTCTTCACTGTAGAAGTTTGAAGCCCTAAACCAGCTGAGTGTAGCTTACCTACTGAAAGTGCTTTTTTTTAATTGATCTTTTCTTTCTCATTGGAAATTCCACCTTTTGTATAAACTGCTGTGCCATTCCAACAGACATAGCCTGGAAAAAGAATTTTTTTCTCTTCACTGAATTTTATGGACAGCTGACACCAAATAAATATTTAGGTTGCATAAAAGTATTGCTGCCCTCAAAATGGAAACTGGTCGAAAGTTATCACTTAGATGAAGCTGCGTGCCAACTTTTGGCACATGTAGACTTCTTAGTGGCTTTGAAGTTCACTTACTGTTAGCCTGTGCCTCACTAGTGTGGCTGAGTCTTACCAAAAAAGTTCGTTGTAAAAAGCAGTAGAGATGTTATTGCTGCTCTGTTACTGCTCACTTGGTCGAACAGAGGGCAGCCTTATTAATGTAAACATAAAGCAGAACTGCATTTGGGCGATGCTTTGAGTTAGTGTAAGTTGGTGTTCTTTTTCTGGTAACTCAAAAGCAGTTTTTTAGTCCTCTGTCTTCTCCTGACCGGATCATTTTAGCTGGACACGGTTCGAGATGTTGCAAAATACATGCAATGCCAGAACAAAACCTGACAAAGAGTTGTCAGGAATAAAAATGTGCAAGAGTATGAGCCATGTATAGTGGTATGATCCGTCTTTTCCCAAAAATGAAGGGACTTGGGGATTCCTCTCCACTGTGTCTGTGCATTCCTCCACTCCCACCAATGAACCCCTCCCTCTTTTTTATCTTGCGGAATGGACAAGTCAGTCAGCTGTTCTGGGCTGGGGGGGCCCATATGAAGTGTACATTAGGTAGAGTATAAGAACAAATTCCTTCTTGGATCAAGTAGTAGACTGAAAATTACACTTCCTGACTGCTGGGATCCCCGTGTGTTGTGTGAAAAAGAGCACTAGTGTCTTGAGTTCTGCGTAAGTATTCCAGATTTTTGTGTACGCTATTTCAGTTATTTAATTAGGCGTGCATTTTCTTCTATGTAGACTGTTGGTGTTGTAAACCAAGATAAAAACACAGAGCTGGAAACCAGTATGTCTTATGCAAGTGAGCAGGAGAGAAGCCGTTCTAACAGCAGCACCTTGTCCGACAGAAGGCTCAGCAATTCCAGCCTCTGCAGCATCGAAGAGCAGCACCGGACTGTCTATGAGATGGTGCAGAGAATACTCTTATCCACTCGAGGATATGTTAACTTTGTTAATGAGGTGTTTCGACAAGTAAGTGTGTATGTTTAGTTGTTATTGTATATTTTTTTAAAGGAAATGTCATGGTTATCAGAGAGAACACTGTGAAGGCTGTTGGTCAGGTCGCTGGTCAAACGATGCTAATCACACCAGCACCCTTTTAGTTGGGAGTCCTTCCTAGGTCTAGTTTTAACGATAAAATTATGACATTTTTATAGGAACTGAAGCTTGTTGCTGATGCCAGGTGGCAACGTGTCTTATTTGAATAGGCCACTTTATTTGTTCTTGGTATTATGATGTAATTTAAAGGTGTGTAAAGAGCTATTAGCTTGGAAATCTATTATTTGAATTAGTAAGATTTTTGTTCCTGTGATCAATGTCAGTATTTAATGTCTGTTTCAACATTGATTGCTTCTACTAGTGTTTTTCATTAATTTGACTATCTTTTCAATTGTTTGGGATAGAAATACATGTAGACCTACTGGAGAGTCCCAGTTTTTTGGGGGTTTTTTTTTGGTCCGGTGCCAAGGTAGAAATTGGTTGAAGCAGCAGTTCCGGGTCACATAAATGTGCAGAAGATACTCTCCAGCAGCTGAGTGAGCACACATACTTTACTATGAAGTATCTTGTGCGGCATGGTTTAGGAACTACTTGTACCACTGCTTTTCAGTGGGATGGATGGCATTTTGACGGGAAGGAGTACTTCTGTGTGTGTTAAGAACTGCTGTGGCATGCTGCCCTCTCCTGGTGTTTGTTCAGGGTGTGTAAGGTTAGACCAGCTTCCAGGGAACAAAGGCTAACGTCATGCAGTACTTTTATCTTTGTTCAATATGGTCAGTGTTCAGTATTTGAAACAGATAATGGTATTTGGCTCCTTTTTGTGTTTCTCTCTCCCTTACAGGAATCTCACTAGTTGTGAATTCCTCCTCTACTCTCCCC